TCTCCGGGCATATTTCACACACACAACTTTGGTGTTTTAGACTTAACTGTGACGCGTGTGGTGGTAGTGTTGGCTCATTACTTAATCCTGTTTCTCCCCTATATTATATAACATGGCGTTGACACTATCAAATCCACTTTCCTCCGATATTATTACGTGGATTTGGCAAACAAATCCATTTCATCCTGTGTTCTAACATGGGGATGTCGTATTATCGTACACATTAACTTATACCCAAATTTGCATGTTAAGATTGATACATTCCACCACACACAAGCTTCATGTTTAGGCTCTTCAATACATTTACTCCTTTAAATATGTATTATGTATGGAAGTATCTGTGTAGGATATTTAATTGTGTAGCCTGTAGAGGAGAAAAACTAGAAATTTTAAAGAGAGAATCGACTCGATTTCGTCACTCTTTTCTTCTGTTAATATTAATAAGGGATTGGTATTGTTAAGCATTTAAGTAAGCTGGGTGTTGGCACGTTATCAATACGACGACGTGTAACTAATCTTTCTTCCAATATTACTGTATAATGGATAAACTAGATTTAGTTTCCTGTTCCTTATGTTTATAACAAGTAACTGTTACGTTATTGGAGTTTTTTTAAGTTAAATTTCGTGTTTATTTTGCCTCCTTACACAATAGTATCAGCTTCGAAAGTTAGTGGTTTTCTCACGTTCAGAATGGACTTATTATATGTTTTTATCATTGTTGTTTACACTTTCGAATGTTTCGTAGTGTTAGATTTTTGCATTAAACATGGGCTGTGTAATCTCTGTTGTTCATTTTGTATTGTTTTATCGATTGCGTGTTTTTGCTCTTAGCTTTTGCATTGTTACATAAGTGTGTCGTCACTGTTGTTCGTTTCTGAATTTCTTAAGAGCTGTGTCGTCTCTTCTATTCGTTTTTGCTCTGTTCTACAGGCTGTGTCGTCTCTTCTATTCGTTTTTGCTCTGTTCTATAGGCTGTGTCGTCTCTTCTATTCGTTTTTGCTCTGTTCTATAGGCTGTGTCGTCTCTTCTATTCGTTTTTGCTCTGTTCTACAGGCTGTGTCGTCTCTTCTATTCGTTTTTGCTCTGTTCTACAGGCTGTGTCGTCTCTTCTATTCGTTTTTGCTCTGTTCTACAGGCTGTGTCGTCTCTTCTATTCGTTTTTGCTCTGTTCTACAGGCTGTGTCGTCTCTTCTATTCGTTTTTGCTCTGTTCTACAGGCTGTGTCGTCTCTTCTATTCGTTTTTGCTCTGTTCTACAGGCTGTGTCGTCTCTTCTATTCGTTTTTGCTCTGTTCTACAGGCTGTGTCGTCTCTTCTATTCGTTTTTGCTCTGTTCTACAGGCTGTGTCGTCTCTTCTATTCGTTTTTGCTCTGTTCTACAGGCTGTGTCGTCTCTTCTATTCGTTTTTGCTCTGTTCTACAGGCTGTGTCGTCTCTTCTATTCGTTTTTGCTCTGTTCTACAGGCTGTGTCGTCTCTTCTATTCGTTTTTGCTCTGTTCTACAGGCTGTGTCGTCTCTTCTATTCGTTTTTGCTCTGTTCTACAGGCTGTGTCGTCTCTTCTATTCGTTTTTGCTCTGTTCTACAGGCTGTGTCGTCTCTTCTATTCGTTTTTGCTCTGTTCTACAGGCTGTGTCGTCTCTTCTATTCGTTTTTGCTCTGTTCTACAGGCTGTGTCGTCTCTTCTATTCGTTTTTGCTCTGTTCTACAGGCTGTGTCGTCTCTTCTATTCGTTTTTGCTCTGTTCTACAGGCTGTGTCGTCTCTTCTATTCGTTTTTGCTCTGTTCTACAGGCTGTGTCGTCTCTTCTATTCGTTTTTGCTCTGTTCTACAGGCTGTGTCGTCTCTTCTATTCGTTTTTGCTCTGTTCTACAGGCTGTGTCGTCTCTTCTATTCGTTTTTGCTCTGTTCTACAGGCTGTGTCGTCTCTTCTATTCGTTTTTGCTCTGTTCTACAGGCTGTGTCGTCTCTTCTATTCGTTTTTGCTCTGTTCTACAGGCTGTGTCGTCTCTTCTATTCGTTTTTGCTCTGTTCTACAGGCTGTGTCGTCTCTTCTATTCGTTTTTGCTCTGTTCTACAGGCTGTGTCGTCTCTTCTATTCGTTTTTGCTCTGTTCTACAGGCTGTGTCGTCTCTTCTATTCGTTTTTGCTCTGTTCTACAGGCTGTGTCGTCTCTTCTATTCGTTTTTGCTCTGTTCTACAGGCTGTGTCGTCTCTTCTATTCGTTTTTGCTCTGTTCTACAGGCTGTGTCGTCTCTTCTATTCGTTTTTGCTCTGTTCTACAGGCTGTGTCGTCTCTTCTATTCGTTTTTGCTCTGTTCTACAGGCTGTGTCGTCTCTTCTATTCGTTTTTGCTCTGTTCTACAGGCTGTGTCGTCTCTTCTATTCGTTTTTGCTCTGTTCTACAGGCTGTGTCGTCTCTTCTATTCGTTTTTGCTCTGTTCTACAGGCTGTGTCGTCTCTTCTATTCGTTTTTGCTCTGTTCTACAGGCTGTGTCGTCTCTTCTATTCGTTTTTGCTCTGTTCTACAGGCTGTGTCGTCTCTTCTATTCGTTTTTGCTCTGTTCTACAGGCTGTGTCGTCTCTTCTATTCGTTTTTGCTCTGTTCTACAGGCTGTGTCGTCTCTTCTATTCGTTTTTGCTCTGTTCTACAGGCTGTGTCGTCTCTTCTATTCGTTTTTGCTCTGTTCTACAGGCTGTGTCGTCTCTTCTATTCGTTTTTGCTCTGTTCTACAGGCTGTGTCGTCTCTTCTATTCGTTTTTGCTCTGTTCTACAGGCTGTGTCGTCTCTTCTATTCGTTTTTGCTCTGTTCTACAGGCTGTGTCGTCTCTTCTATTCGTTTTTGCTCTGTTCTACAGGCTGTGTCGTCTCTTCTATTCGTTTTTGCTCTGTTCTACAGGCTGTNGAAAGTGTCTGTAGAAGTAATTTTTTAAAATATCCTTTTTTCTTGATAAAGTTTTAATACTAATTATTATAATCAAGACATGTTAATTTTTAAATATACTTGTATATTGCGCCACAAGTATATATTATATATACTTGTGGCCCAATATATTCCTTGACTTCTTCCAATGCGGCCCAGAGAAACAAAAAGGTTGGACACCCCTGATCTAGACCGTATTCATTAATCAATTGCTAAGAAATCTACTGTAATTCGGTAAAAGGGCGGAGCTAATAAGTGCTCTGAGCATGGAGCTATAAATATTTGGAGAGGCAGTGGTGAAAATGTTTCCTTTGACAACTTTAAGCCAACTATGATCATGTCTCAGAGTGTTCCGCTATATTATGTAAGGAAAAATTTATTAGCGACTAAAGGATAAATGGCACGAATATCGTCCTCCTTATGTTTTTTGTACTTTTAAAAATATTTTGGATTTTTGGCCAAAGAAAAATATGTTATATACTTCAAATATTTAAGTAATTTTTATATATATTGCAAAGAAAAATTATTAGAACTAAAATTTAAAAAAATGCGTGTTTCGAATTTTAAAGGCCCACCAGTGGCCGAGTGAATAAAACCACTGAACACTGATAATTGGTCGTGAGTTCATATCTTTCCAATGTGGTCACGTGGAGTTTTACGGGTTCTTAACGTTTGTAATACCTAAATAAGGGCGTTTCCCGTAGATTCTTTCCCGAGATCCCCTCTTGGCAGATCGCCCATGTGTCACGTAGCCATAAACAAATAAACCAATCGAATTTTAATGTTCCTAATTTCGTGCCCTGTGCTTTCTTGAGATGTAGATAGGAAATTAAATAAAGTATTTTTCAGTGGCGTGCCGTGACATTTGAAGATAGAGAATCTGTGTTTCTGTAAGCCGACATCCAGGGCAATCAGTCAATTGCGCTAGTGATGGTCAATTGCAGTCAGTGATGGTCTAGGGCAGGGGTCGGAATTAGCGGCTCGCGAGCCGCATGCAGCTCTTTGCATAGACGTTTGCGGCTCTTCGGACATAAACTCCAATTTCATTTCACCTCATTTCACCGCAGCCTTATAACTTATGAGTTTATGAGATAGAGCCGCCGAACAAACTTCGACTTGTTCTCCTTCCGCACATGACCACACTCGCGTTGATCAATATGAGTCGCATAAGAGTGGTAGCATTTGAAGCACATCTATATATATATAACCCATTGAACGCATGTCCGTCCATCCGTGTAACGTTATGCCGAAAACGGCCACTAGAGGTGCCCCTGTCGTGTGTCGTATTTTTGCACATTTTAATTAATATGCGGCTCTCTGGTACTTTTGTTATCCTGTTTTCATGACAATTTGGCTCTTCTCACTTGACAAACTGCCGATCCCTGGTCTAGGGTCCATTCGTATCGTTTGTTCGATAAGCCAGTAAAAACCGTAGACTTCTCTAAATGCATTTTTAATATCACAATTACATTCCGAATCGCTAGCCACGATATAATTGCTACAGTTAAAAATACAGTAATACCCCGACTTACGCGAACCCGGAGTTACGCGATTTTCAAATCTCGTCGATTCGTCTTTTGTTTGAGCGCCACGCAACCCTTGATTACTCACTCCCCCACACTATTGTTCAGCTTACATGTTCGGATGTGTCGCGCGGAATCCACACACAGCTACAATTTATTTTGTGTTATTTATTTCTGTGTTTGTTATATATACGAAGACTCGAGAGACTCTACTATGTCATTCAAACGAAGTAGAACTAATTCTTCTGCATCAAACAAGAAAAGAAAAGCTTTATCTTTGGAATGTAAATTTAACATTGGGTATATTCGTAAAGTCGAACGAGTTAAACGAGAATGACGTTGTCGTTATTTCTATTTCGTTAGACTTTTCGAACGATTCGTTACTAACGCGTTTAACTCGTTTGACTTTAAGAACGTACCCATTATTAAAGACTTCGATACAAAAATGAAAATTTGTGAATTGGCAAAGAAGTTTGATCTACCGGATTNTGTTGAAAGTACTATAGCGAAGTATATCTATGAAAAAAGCATAATAGCATTAAGGTAAAAAGTTACGAAAACTTTCATTTCTAGCTTTAAGTTTACTATCACATACCCAATTGAGCTATAAATTTAAAAAAATAAATAAATTACTAGAAAAATTTATAATTCAAGTACAAATAATTTAATTTTCGCACCTCAGTTGCTATTGTTGGATATAATTGACTAAAATCGTAAGTCCAACCATATTGACACGGTATAAGTGTTTTATTCGATTGATCTGTTAATTCGTCTATGAATGAACTTGAATTTACATCGTACATGTAACACCTTCGAAGCTGTTCGTCCTCCGGCATGGACTGGTTCCAAAACACATCCTGAGGAACGTAGCACCAATGTTCAGGCACCAAGATAATAAAAAACTGTGTGAAGTAAACAAGAGCACAAAATGCAGCAGAAGGTATCACCAATACGCCGCATAATAGTTTCTGATATAAACCAAAATCGCCGACCTTTTGTAGAGCGACGTTATAATCCATAACATTGGAGCTCTACATACACGAGCTCCTCCGTTTTAAAAAGCATCGGTCACGTGACCGAATTTCGCCGGTTATGACGTATTTCCGATACACGTGCTACACGTGCGTAATTGAACCGGGTGGCCTATTTAATAAGGAAAGATAATATTTTTATTTACGATTTAAGATTTAATTTTTTTAATATAAATTAATAAAATATTGCAATATTTAAAATAGTACTCAATAAATAAAACTTGAAAGTTTTGTAAAAGAGTCAATGTCCGATCGTTATTTTATGTTTTGGGGCATTATTTTTATTTAATTATTTTCTTCTCGGGGTTCTTTTTAGTTAAGGACAAACTCCTAAGCACATGTGAAAAAGAAAGAAAAAGCAAACTTAATTTGCATCAGTACCTGATCCTGTAACACCAATTTATGTAAATTAAGACAGTGCAGAGCTGCACTCAACGTGAATAAAAGGCGGCAGATCCACGGAGGTAGGTAGCTTCAGCTGACAAACTGTGGTAGAGACGCATGTGATCAAATAGAGGAAGCGGTATCTTTTCGCTATAGAATCCTTTTGAGGTGGAGATAAAAGTTTTGTTGATTTGGATATTACAAGTATAATTGTCTTTGATTGTTAATTTTTGTTGCTACTTTTCCATTATTTAACTTACTGTTGGGGTAATTAACCCATTATTGTTTTGTTTGTAAATGTAATAAAACTTATATTTATTGTGAATTAGTATATGTGGTTGTAGAAAATTATTATTTTTTTTTTATTTGGAAAGTCCAGGTACTTGAACTCTAATATTGTGTAACCCCTTTTTGTTTTCATAAACGGTGCGTTACAGTTTGTTTTGAGATATTAATTTCGAAAGATAAGTAAAATGATATGCTACTTGTAATTAATCATATAAACCGTCAGAAAACTTCAATTTTATTTACATAATTTGAAAAAAACTATAGTATTTCATTATTTTAAAGAATTTATAGCTGCTTGATATTTCACAAGAAAACACGAAACTAAAATAACGCAAGGAATATCACGAGTAATAAATAATTCCAGAAATAATATTGCCACGCTGTTCACAACACAATATAAAAATGTTCTCACCAAACAATACTTGAATTATTTATGTAAACGCGCTTAGTTTTTATCTCTTTAATATCATAAATCGAAGACTTTTTAAATCCAGAAAGCAAGTATTGGATAAAATTATAGACTAGATATTAGTATCTTCAAAATTAATTTTAAAAGCAAGAATTTTATTATTAATAAATTAAATATAAAATCTATTTAAGGCCTTTGCTATATATATCTCGAAAGCTATATTCATTTTTTAAAAATCCAGCAACGAGTTGCTTAATTTCCCAGTAACATTAAAAATTGCGTATTTGGTCCCATCTGTTATAATATTTTATTAAAAACTTATAACCTTAATTATAAAATGAACAAAAAGCTTAATTTTGAGGTAAGGATGAGTTTTTGTATAAAAAAAAAAAAAAATTATAAATGGTAATAACCAGTAAAATCGTCATTAAGTCCGACCCTACTCGAGATACGTCTCGAGTTGGGTCGGACTTTATCTCCCCACCTCATCGACTTTTAACCACCAAAACTTAATAGCATCAATCCCCTAATACAGAAACCTTCCTGAAAAATTTAATAAATTTTCGACACAAAGCACAGGAGTTTATTAAGCTTCAAACAGGGTGAACAAAATCGTGCCCCCCCCCACATACGCAGTAACATCCATACATACGGAAAAAACCGAATTTGTTTGCATTTATCGACATTTCAAGATGTCCTATGTCCAAAAATTTAGAAATCATGGGGGTCATTTTTGACCGATTCGCCATACTTTCCCTCTGTTATATATAACAGAGCCGAAATAATAAAAATAATTTCATGCAATGAATATTGTAGATTTTATCTTAAGAAAAAAATAGAGAATTAAATCTTGCGGGAACATTTATTACAACTTTGATATTGTATAACTGTACAGTTGATAACTTTACAGCTAAAATTTAATTTTATCAGTTATTGAAAGTGAAGCTCCGATTATAAAAATTTGTAAACGTAAAGAATTTTTTAACAGATCAATTTGATTACTTCCTTAATAGTATTTTATTATGTAGTTAGAAAGGAATTAAATACTAAAGGAAATACTAGTAATATTTAGAATATCTGTCTTATAGAAGCGCTAACATTTTTCATAAATTTTCTTGAAATAGATAAGAAAAATAAAATGTTATTATACAACTAATGAATCAATATACAATCTCGGTATGTTTATTTCAGATTTTTATTAAAATAATCATAAAACACAATTCAGAATTATTTTAAATAAATTTTTGTTACCAGATTTTATGACTTTTACCGTATCATACAATGAAATAAATACTGCATAAGGTTAATCTTACGACATTATACTTTTTATTCTATTTTAAACCTGTAAATTACAATAAAATAAAATTTATTATTGAACTAAATAAATATAAAAAATGCACGTGAGTGTATTGTTGGGATGTCAGTCTGATGGCTGCGATCAGGGAGGAATCCTGGATGCTATAGTTTATCTTCGTCTGTACGAAGAAAGATTTTATTTTACAGTACTTAATAAAATGCAAAATTTTTAAAACAGATATAAGATATATCTTTAACATTACAAATCATAAACAATGTAAACTCAATAGTTATAAATAAAATTAATATGTTAAATTTCAAAACATAATATACTTAATAACTAGATATACTCCGATTTGCTTGATATCTAGATTACTAGATATCAAGCAAATCGGAAGGCTTTTAAAATTATAGTACAATTTAATTTAACTTAAAAATTTCAATCACCAGTTTAATTCTGATTAGATATTTTATATGTTTAAACTAGATATTTTGTTATTAAAGCTTATCACAGATGATTTCACAATGTTTACATTTAGTTTTTTCACACATACTGTATATATATAAGAAACACTAGTTTGGTGTTTTTATTTTATTTGGCCTTGTTAACTTTCAAAAATATTAAATTAAGAAAAATAATAAAAATGAGCGATAGATTTCGATAAAAATGCAGAAATAAATTATTGCTGCATTTTAAAGATTCGTCTCCATTCCTTTTAATAGAAAAGCGTGAAAAAAAAATGTGATTTATTACACCAAGACCCACTAGATGACCAAGCGGTTAAGCTGTCAGCAACCGCTCTGGAGGACCCGGGAACAAATCCAAACGGATCAAAAATCCTAGGAATCTGGGGTGATCCGTTCGGATATGTCTGGTTCCGTCCCTTCTGATCACACCCTTGTAAGCCTGGCTGAACTCACTGTGAGCTTGATTAAATGACAAAAAAAAATCGTGTGTTTAGTCCTACAGAATGGAGAGTCAAGAATAAAAAAAAATGACCGATATCTGTTTGCTATTGTTGAAAGTACTATAGCGAAGTATATCTATGAAAAAAGCATAATAGCATTAAGGTAAAAAGTTACGAAAACTTTCATTTCTAGCTTTAAGTTTACTTATTTTAAATTACTCTAATATCCAGCTTATTTTGTATTGTTTATGAGAATTAATAGTTGTGGGAATTTACCTTTACTTTTTGAATTACACAATTGATTTTTCGTTATTAAAAACAAATTAATGGTGTGTTGTCAAAAAATATGAATCATTCTAAATTACTCAGATGAAAAAATTCTAATCGTTGTTGAATATTACTTTATTTACATACAGTTGCATATACAGTATATTTACAGTTGTATGAACTTGTGTTAATGCTTTGCATATACTTGTATAAATAAATAATTCCTTAAATATAAAATTAACTAGTCTAATATTCAACAGCAATTAGAATTTTTTTGTTGTCTGAGTAATTTCAGGCGATACGAAACAGAGTAATTTAGAGCGATCCATACTTTTTAAACTATGTACAGTACCGGTAATTCATTTTCAATAACCAGAAACCAATTGTATAATTCAGAACAGAAGTAAATTTTCACAAATATTAATTTTTTCAACCATACAAAATACTGGATATTATAATAGTTTAAAATAAGTAAACTTAAAACTAGAAATAAAAGATTTCCGTAACGTTAACATTAATGTTACTATGTTTTTTTTCCCATAGATATGTTTCGCTATATGCTTTGCTTTGTACTTTCAGCAATAGCAAACAGATCTCGATCCTATTTAAAAAATTTTTAACCCTTCGTTCTGTAGGTACTAAACACGCTTTTTTTCAGTCTTTTAATCAAGTTCACAGTGATTTCGTCCAGGCCACAATGGAGTGACCGGATGGTGACGGACGGGACCAGACATATCCGGAAGGATCACACCCTGAAAGTACTGTAGTAGCAGATTACCCAATAGGCGCACTAGGCGCGCACTTATTAAGGCTTCATCGTCACGAGTAGCCTCAAAAATTACAAAGAAAATCTATAATACATCTTTAAAAATCTTGTGAACATTTAAAAAATGTACAGTATATTATAAAGAAAAACCTTGTTGTTATTTAAAGATTTTATTGCCTTTTTAATATTAAAACTGTTCTTCTGTCCGTGTCTTCTCCTAAGGGAGGTTGGCAGTCAGCAAATACCACTGTTCTCTTTTGTAACTTTTATGAATGATTTCTTCCGTATCTACTCCCGTCCATTCTTCGAGGTCGTCCATCCAGCTCCGTCTTCTTCTTCCCCTTAATCTTTTTCCATCAATTTTGCCTTCTAATGTGAGTTTGGGGATTTCATATTTCTCTCCCCTCAGTATGTGTCCACAGTATGCTAGTTAAAACAGTTACTTTTACATTAGACAGAGTTAGACAACCTAATAAATAGGGTATAACAATTTGCAGGGCTTATCACACCAAGGCCGACTGAAAAAAGGACCAGAACTTTTATTAAAAAAAAAAGGATTGGTCTTTTTTAAGTTACTTTTACATAAAAGACTTACAAGTTAGTAATAAAATTGCGCCTAGGGCCTAAAAGAAACATAATCCACCACTACTTGAAAGATTCTTGGGAATTTTCGATCTGTTCGGAACTTCGGATTTGTTCCCGGGTCTCCCA